GCCCGCCTGTGCCCACCTCCCCGCAGACACCCTCTGTTTGGTCGCAACGTGCCCCTGTCCAGCGGCTCAGGCTTCATCATGTCAGAGGCCGGCTTGATCATCACCAACGCCCACGTGGTGTCCAGCACCAACACTGTCTCCGGCCGGCAGCAGCTCAAGGTGCAGCTGCAGAACGGTGACAGCTACGAGGCCACCATCAAGGACATCGACAAGAAGTCGGACATCGCCACCATCAAGATCCACCCCAAAGTGAGTGGGCGGGCAGGGGGGCACCTTCCCAGACCCCAGAGCTCGGAGCGGCGCTGGCCCGACCTTCCTGCAGGGCACTTGGAGGAACCGAGGCCCAGGGAGCACCTGGCAATTTGCTTCTAGTCACGGGTCAAGTCAGACTAGAACCGGGGTCTGCAGACCCCCGCGCCGTGCTTCCCCGAGCTGCCAGGCACGGAGCTAGGCTGTCATCCCCCCGCCATTCCCGCAGGGAGGCCCTCCAAGGCCCAGGGACGGTCCCAGTGTCCCTCCCGGGCTGACTCCAGATGTAGCTGTCCCTGTGTAGCCGACAGAAGCTGTGGGGAGCCCTGGGACATATGCCCTGGTCCCTCCACATGCGGTCCCCCCAGCTGGCTGGACAGCCCACAGCGGGGCCACCACCCCCCCTCAGTGCCAGCAACTGTGTGCAGGAGGCCCCCCACGGCCCTTGGCAGAAGGGGTGTCAGTGTCCTGCTATTTCAGAGGGGAAACTGAGGCTCAGAGAGGTTAGGCCATTGCCCAAGATCATGCTGACCTGGGGCAGGGCTGGTCCAGGGTTGTGGTCAGGACTGTCAGTGAGGGCCGCTGTGGGCCACCCCCGCCATGAGGTCGGCGACCCATGGGGCCATCTGTGCCGGTGAGTCTGGCTTGGCTGACCTTGAATCTGGTTTCTGCTCTTTCTGAACAAAAGTGTACAGTTTGGGCGATAATGAGTCTTTTGTGAGGAGGTTCCTTCCTGCCCCATCAAGGGAGAAGAGATTTACCCTAACGTGGGCCCTTCCCCACATTTGACCCTTTGATGGCAGTTACAGAGCCTGGGGACGCCGCGTCCATTCCAAAGATGAGGACACTCAGGCTGGCGGGGGGCAGGGGGTGTGCTCAAGGGCAGAGATTGGCAGCGTTTGTGGTGAGGCTCCAAGTAGTAAATACTCCTGGGCTTTGTGGGGCCTGCGCTCTCTGTGGACACCTCCCAACTCTGCAGCAGCCGCAGGTGATACAAACACGTGGCTGGGTTCCAATAAAACTTTATTTACAAAAACAGCCTGAAGGCCACAGTGTGCAGCCCCCCGCCAAGGACCCTCACAGGATGATGCAGAGCCAGCCTAGACCCGGGTCTGGCTGCCGCTGGGTCTCTCCCATTCCTGGGGCTGTGGCTGAATCCTAGGGCGGGGCACACCCCGGCGGCCCTCGGTGGCCGCAGGTGCTGGTGGAATCGGTAAGGCCCATGTACCCTGGTGCCTGCAGGCACGATCAGCACCCACCGCTTCTCCTCGACAGCAGCAACTGCCTCTCAGCTCCTGAGTCCTGTGCGTGGGAACTCCCCCAGCTTTGGGGAGAGCTGCTGCCCCAGGCCACTCAGGCGCAGTGAGGAAGAGCATCCCCTAGGCCTGGGCATTGTCATCCCTCCCTGTGGCCGGCCAGTGATGGAAGTGTCATCCCTGTGGGTCCTTACCCTCCGCCTGGGACTCTCTGTGCCAGGACCCCCGCCCTCCCACCAGATGGAATCGAGCAGTCGGAGGGTCGGAGGTGTGCGGTTCTTGTCCAGAGCCAGCGTGAGGCCCCTGTGATGGGGGCACGATGGTCACCAGCACCTTCTTATAAAGCTTTGTGTCTGCAAGTCATTCCAGACCCCAGGAGCATGCAGAGGTGGTGCCCCGTACCTGGCCGCCCCAGTGGTGGCGTTGGACAGAAGTGGTACGACACCAAATCCCCAGATTGACGGGGGTGCTGGTGAGAGCGCCTCGGCTCCCGTCGATGTCAGGGACACCGGTGCGTCCACTCAGCACCTTAACCAGGGCTCGGGACTCTCTGCAGCGTCCAGACCATGGAGGCAAACCCAACACAGCCAGCTCCCAGAGCTCCCAGTCTAGCTGCAGAGTGGACAGACAGACAGGCTCCGCTGGCTCCACGTGGAAATGGAGCGAGCAGGTGTCTCGGTGTTCAGAGGGTGATGGCAGAGCTTGGCTAAGTCACTTTATTGCTCTGGGCCTCAGTTTCCCTGTGTGTCTATACTGGGAGATCAGGTTGAGCTGGATCAAGGATTCCAACAGTAGGGTTCCAGATCCTCACCTGGACTCCAGGCTTCCCACAAGACTCTCGGTCGTATGCGTCATCAGTTTGCGTGTGATGCATTTTGGATGGTATTCATAGCTCCTATCAGATTTCAGAGGGACCAGTGACCATCGAACCTCTGGGCTCCAGGACCTCAGAGGCCATGGCTGGCTGGACCTTCTGTGTATCCTCCCTGTGTGTGACCCCTGCAGCCGCCTGGGGAAACCCGTGGTTGGTCAGAGAGCAGCTGAGCCTCTGTTGCAAGAACTCCAGCCTGAGTCTCTCCTACTACGGGTCAGCTGGAGGCCAGCTTGGCCTCTGTCTGAGTTGGCGACTTGCCTTGGCCTTCGCCCCTGACAGCTCTATCCAGCTGCTCCTGCCTTCCTGGGACCACCCCGCTGGGGGCCTGGCCTTGATCTGGCTCCGGTCCCACCAAAGGCAGACGGCTGAGCCTCCCTTCCCGTGTCCCCCCTCCAGAAAAAGCTGCCGGCCCTGCTACTGGGCCGCTCGGCAGACCTGCGGCCCGGCGAGTTCGTGGTGGCCATCGGCAGCCCCTTTGCCCTGCAGAACACTGTGACCACGGGCATCGTCAGCACGGCCCAGCGGGACGGCAAGGAGCTGGGCCTCCGGGACTCGGACATGGACTACATCCAGACAGATGCCATCATCAACGTGAGTCCCTGTCCCCAGAGCTCACCCCATCACTGAGCACATCTGCTCGCTAGAAAGTTCCTTCTTTACGCTCAACGGAGCTTGGAGTCCCTGTGACTTCTGCACCTGGGTGCCGGGTCCGCCCTGGGGGTTAGAAGCTGCTGCCCTGAGCTGGGATAGCCCTTCAGAGACGCAGAGAGTCTCTGCCCAAGTCACCCCCCCCCACCACCAGCATTCCTTTTGTCGCGGTTAGTATTGTTACTGTAGCTGAGGGTACCTTTCACGCTCACAGAGCGCCCACATTTCTGGGTTTGCCGTGGTTCGGGCTCTTCTGGAAATGTGAGCCTTCGTAGAGACCCCTCGCAGCCGATGGGATGTAACCGAGCCGTGGAGCGAGCCTGGAGGCAGCCTGTGTATCTGTGTGGGGCGCACGGGTCATCTGACAGCCGTCTGCGTGGCCTCTGGGGTCCAGGCTCCCTTACCTGTGAAATGGGGGTGCAGTGAGGCCTTTCAATGCCGTTGAGGGTGAAATTCGATGACCCATCTCTGGGCTGGTTGCAACAAGGGTCGGAAGACAGAGCTTCGGGGGCCCTCGGGCGGGCTCAGGGCTGAGCTCACGTCGCGTTTCCTCCCCTTGCAGTACGGGAACTCCGGGGGACCACTGGTGAACCTGGTAAGTGACCCCAAGGGCAGAGGTCTCTAGTTTTCTGGGGCTCTGCTCACACGGCAGTACAGCCTCAAGGCGGGGAGGGAACCCCAAAGATGGGCCTTGAATCTTCACACCCGACCGCGAGGCCGGAGGTCCGGGAGGAGGACATGACCCCAAGCACATGCCGCCCTGGGCCCCCTACCCCCCGTACACCCCAGAGATGCTGGGCTGTCTGAGGAATGAGGATGACCCGGAACAGTGGCCAGGCAGGGCCATGTGCCCAGCAAGGACCTGGGGCAGGGGAGACACAAGTCAGGGCTGCTCACTGCTCTGGGCCCCCCATCTTTGTGTTTACATGTGGGGTGAGGGGGCATCCTTGTCCTTTCCCCGTCCTCTTGGGTCCCCCCCACCCCACGTCTGTCCTGGGCCCCAGATTCAGGCTCATTCTCATCCCAGGTGAGATTTCTAGAATAAACCAGGAGTCAGAAATCAGTTCAGCTCCTGGGCCCCAAAGTATCGGATGCTGTCCCCACCCCGGGAGCGCCCGTCCATGCTGCAGCGTGTCAGACATGAGCACGCCCGTGTGACATGAGGAACAGTGAGGGGACTCTGGAGGAATCGCAGGCAGGGAGGGCTTCCTGGAGGCGGGAGTATCTCATCTGGGCCGTGGAGACTGTGGGTTTGGGGTTGAGGGGACATGCAGGAGAAAGCTAGTCCGGGGAGAAGGCACAGCACGAGCGGGAGGGCTCAGAGGGAGCTTCACCCTGCGCCCAAGCAGCCCCGCAGGCGTGCACCGGGACCCGAGCCCCAGCACGGGCGTTCACAAAAGCTCATGCGCGCGGGCTTTATGCTGGAGGCGGGAAAAGCAGGGGTATGTGCCAGGCTGGGAGGAGGAGCGCCTTCCTGGGAGGGTGTCAAGAACGAGGTGTCTGGTGATCCGTAGCCTTGAGGGGGTGCAGGGCAGGGGCGGGGTGGGAGGCCAGCTCCCGGGGGACAGACAGGGTGGGTGCTGGGGAGCTGCCCAGGCCACATGCCCCCAGCCCCACTTCTAGAAGCACTGGGGAGAGAGGTTCCGGTCCCAGAGGCCTTGTCACGCCCTCTCCAGGCTCCAGCCCCTCTGGATGCTGCCGGGGTGGGTGTGTCCTCCTCGGTGGGCACTGCCTGAGGGGCAGATCTGAGCTAGGGAGAGGAGGGGTGGGTTTGGAGGGAGAGGTGGGGGGGTCCCTGACCCAGAGGTGAACCCCAGAGGGCCTTTCCAGGACAGCTTGGGACTGTCCTGGGACCCTCAGGGAGGACGCGGTACTTGGTACTCCGGCTCCCGGGTGACCGCCCCTCTGACCACCCTGCCCAGGACGGCGAGGTCATTGGCATCAACACACTCAAGGTGGCAGCCGGCATCTCCTTCGCCATCCCCTCGGACCGCATCACGCGCTTCCTCACGGAGTTCCAGGACAAGCACGTCAAAGGTACAGCGTTGCCCTGGGGGCTGCTGAGGTAGGGGACCCCGTCCTTCCCTGCTCACCTCGTGCCCATCCTGAAGTTCCCAGAACCCCGCACTCCTCAGCTGTGGCCTCTGTCTTCCTCCCCTTACCTCATGGTCATGTGAACCCCCACCCCTCCCGATGCTCCCCTTCTGGCGGGGGGTGTCCCCCACCCACCTCCGACCTCCCATCTCCCACCTCCAGCAGCCTGGGCCGCCAGACTCCACTTCTCTGGGCTGCTGTAGACAGAACCGGTCTTTCCTTTCTTCCTCCCTCCCTCCCTCCCTCCCTCTCTCCTTCTTTCCTCCCTTCCACCCATCCATCCATCTATCCATCCATCCATCCATCCATCCATCCACCTATCCACCCATCCACCCACCCTTCCTTCCATCCACTCACACACACACCCACCTATCTACCTATCTGCTCTTTTATCCACTCCTACCCAGCCATCCACCCATCTACCCTCCCTCCCTCCCATCTGCTCATCCCTAAGGACTCCCTCTTTTAGCCTTGGTCATGTAGCCTGTCCAGGAGGGTATTCTCTACTCCAGGGGAGCAGAGCCCAAGTCCCTGATCCTTGGAAGGCATCTTCCTCTCAGCCCCATCTCCCCATCTACACAGGGGTGTCCAGCTCTCCCTACCCACACCTGGATGGCCATGAGCACCCACCTGGGGGAGGCCTTGGCCAGGCACAGCTTACTCTCCCCAGTGAGGGTCTGCCCATCACCTTCTTAAAGTTGGTGGTCGTAGCTGCCTTCCAAAGGAGGGTCCTACATCTCCTGATCTCAGGAGTTTCCTGGTGCCCTCCACTTTCCCGCCTCTCATTTTAGCCCAAGTGAATGTCTCCCGCCATTTTGTCTCCCATGCCCACCTGGCCAATGCCCAGACCTGCGTTGACCCCACTACTCACACCTTCAAATTGCTTCCATGTCTCCTCCCAGCCCCCTCACCAGCAGTTCATTGAGAGCAGGGGCCTTCCTCATGCTTGCCTGATCCTCCACAATCCCACCAGCCAAGCACACGGAGCCCAGTGCAGCCAAGACCAGTGCCATGAGGACTGGTCATGCGAAGAACCACTGTTGAGGACTCCATTGGGTTCATCGGGGTCCCTCATGTGAAGATGGCCTGGAGCCAGGGTAGAGCCAGTCTTCCCTGAAGAAGCTCAACGCTTCTTCTATTGGACAGGGGGGCATCAACCCCACATCTTTTCTCCTTGGCTGCTAGGAAGCGCAGAACTTAACCCAGGGTTGCACCTTCATACCTGTCATAGCCTTGGTGCTTTCTCTAATAAATGAGCTTTTCTAGTGTAATTATCCTTTGCTCCACGGGTGCCTTTCACTTTGGCTCCCTTCCTGGAAATCGGTGGATCTGCATTTTGCAGACTGAGCTGTCAGGTGACTGTTAGAAAGATCGGATGATAGCATCCTCTCGCTTCTTGCCTCACTTCCTCTCCTCTCTCGGAACCCACCAGGGGCCGGCAGGGTCTGTTCCTTTTGTGGTGCAGAGACCATCCCTGTCAGTGCTGACCTCACCCCAGATACCCTGGGAAAGTCTCAGGCCCTGTCCCCAGAGCTGTCACCTCCCTCAGGACATGTGGACTCATCAGAAAGCCCAACAAATCTTAGCTGGATGACTGAATCTTTAATTTAAAGCCCTTCTGAAGTTGACTGGTGTTTACTCCTGCTTTTTTGTCTTAATAAAATTATCAAAATACTTAAACCCAGTTAATCTAAAGTTCTTTAAAACAAGGCATCCTTAAATTAAACCAAGGAGACATTACAGTGCATTTCTTGTTCCTGTCTAGGTATGGGGTACAGAGGCCTCTGGGGGGCTCTCAAGGGAAGAGGGGCCACCATGCTGGTCCAAGGGAACCTCAGCTTCAGGCCGCAGGAGAGTCTGGGGGCTCAGCCAGGTTTAGGACTAGAGTGTACCCCCGGGGGTGTTTGGGTCAGTGGGGCTGGGTGGCTATGGATGTCTGGCCCTCTGTGAACTGTGGGGTCCCATCCAGCCTGGGGAGTGGAAACGACACTCGTCTCCTGCCCCGGGGCTCTCTGTGGCCTGTGCGCCCAGGGAGAGCTGCAGGGAGGCGCTGGGGTTCCGGCAAGAAGAGACTGGAATGCACATTCCCTGGCCTCCAGGTCACAGGCAGACTAGGGAGGGACACCTGTGGGCTAGAGTGTTTCCCCCCAGGCCGGGAGGCAGCAGCCGGAGGCAAGGGTGTGACGGGGCAGCACCTGTGCTCTGCAGCCCATTGTCCCTTCTCCAAGGTCCCCGAGGCTTTAGTGTCCCCGAAACCTGAGCTCGGCTCTCTGCAGCCCGCGGCTAGGACCGGTGCTCAGCGCTCGGGGCTGCAGCGTGAGGCTCCGGCCAGAGGGGCCCACAGCGCATGTGCGCCTGCGCGCAGCCTGGACTCCCGTGGGCCGAGGCCGAGCGCGCGGCAGCTGGGAGCCTTTACTCTAGTGGGGGCGGCGGGCCGCAGGAGCCCCGTATGT